TTTTTGTTACTTCATAAAAAGTTTTGTTTGTCGAAAAAATAATATTGATATAAAAAAAATTGGATTTTATCTACATGGTTTTCAAAAATAGGAAAAACATTAGATCGATTCAATATAATATTTTGTTTAAATTCAAAAATTACAACAAAAATTATAAAGTTGGGTTTTCTTTGTTTTTTTTTCAGGATCGAGTTTGTTAATATTTATAAAAAAAAAGTAAAGTAGTGTAGTAACGCCATTAACCTATCCAGCTTACAGGCAAAGCCTATAAGGTTCGGTTCTTCAGCGGGACCTACTGTTTAACGTGGAATCCGAACCACGGTCCTCGATGAGTTAGACTCATCTACCGACTTTCAACCCAAGGCTGTGACCGGGAATCGAACCCGCTACCTTTCGGACGCAGTTTGTCTCGGCATAGTCGCCTAACCCACTGCGCCACCGAGGCCCCCTTAATATTTATATTTTTGATTTTTTAAAGAAAAGTCATTTATGATAAAATGTATTGTCAAAAAAAAACTACATGGTGTTTAAATGTTAAGAAAACATAAAATAAATTAAGATAAAAGAACTTTTATTTGCTCATATAAACCACTTTGCTGACATAAGATAAGAGTATCTTTATTGTAACTCTTTATAAAAGTCATATTTTGTCTTTTTTTCAAATTTCCACATAGAAAAACCTTATGAATTTTCATTTCTATTATAAATAATCTTTTCGTTAATTTTGTAGTATATTATGTATCAAGTTTGATAAACGCAATTTTATTAGATACGAGCGAAGCTTGTGAGCGAATCTTTAATGAAAACGAGTGTCTAGAGAAGTTTATAAAAACGAGTTGCATACTATATTTTATCGACGACGGACACAAAGAATAATTTAAAGCCAATTTTATTTGACATCTGACAACTGTCAAACGTATTTAACCTTACTTTTTACCAATTTATAATAAAGCTAAAACTATCTCGTGACTAATAGGCCCGAAAGCCACTGTTGCTTGTTTGAGCCCTTGACTAAAACGCTTGTCAATGTGTGAGTAGATAATAGTTATTTATTTACATAGCGCACAAAAATTAAACTTCATTCTCGCGTTTGTTTTTAAATAAATTAATAAATCAGACAAGGGAAATTAAGTATCATTAAAAAAAGCGAAATATGGTAAAACCAGAGGCGGATCCACTAGGGGATGTTTTCAGATCCGCCTCCCTTCGGGATCGGAAAAACCAAAATTAGACTTTTATTTATAATATTATTATTATTATTAAGTGATTATCCAAGGAAAGTGCAGACATTTTTGTGCACCCCCCTTCCTTCCAGATCCGCCCCTTAACCTTATACAGGTACGTTCCGTAACTTCAGGACGCAATTCCTTATGATATTTAAAAAAAAAAGTTTATACATATTCATTTATAAACATATGTCCTAAAATGCTTCTTTACTGAGGTGACAAAAATTATTTTTTAATTTTTATCTTTTTGAATAATAATTTTTTTGTGATTTTCAACATCCTTTATATTGAAATAAAGGGTGGGCCATTTTTATGTTGAATTATAAAATAGCAATGAGAACAAGAAAAACTGATTTTTTTTTCAACGAATTTTGCTTTATTTGATACAATGTTTCTTCCGATTAAGTATGGAAAATGATTTTATTTAAGTGGCCACCTCAGCTGGCTCGGCAGTAGCCCATCCTGAAACACCAATTTTCGAGCACTTTGTCAAAAGTTTGCTGCTCTATTTAGGCAATTTGAGCTTGAATGTTTTGTTTTAAATGGTAAATAGGCTTTGTTAGTGCGACGTGTGGTTTTTGCGTGGCCCAAATCCTACAATTTTGCTTGTTGACATAACCTCCAAAGTAAAAATGCGCCTTATCCGAAAAGATGATTTTTCTTGCAAAATTAGGGTCATCGTTCAACTGGTTTAAAGCCCATTCAGCAAAGCGAAAACGTAGTGGATGGTCAACTTGCTTTAACTCCTGAACAAGCTGGACTTTGTACGCAAACATACCGAGGTCTTTGTGCAGAATCATCCTCAGAGTGGTACTGGAAAGGCCGAGTTGTTGACATCTGCACCGAGTTGATGTTGACGCGTTCATGCGTACATTTTCGGCCACAGCAGCGATTTCTTTAGGTGTACGTCTAGGACGAGCATGCGAAACATGTTTTATGTCCACCAGCATTCCATTTCTGCGCAATTTTTTGATCAAATTTGTAATACTTTGGTTTGACGGCGCCTCATTTCTTCCAAACGCAATTTTCCTGCCGTCTCTGCGATCACAGTCACATTCAAAGTAAGTTTTGAGTATTTCGAAACGTTGATCCAAATTTATTCGGTGCATATTTTGTAATCGGAAAGTTAAAACTAAACCACTGTCAACAATTCATGGCGTTTAAGTTGAAATCTTCATTAATAGCTCGTAGTTTAAAATTCAACTTATAGATGGCCCACCCTTTATAAGCATTTCCGGACATGAATTTATCAAAATTCCAGCTATTTCATTCTTCACCTATCCGACTTGTTCGGCGGTCCGAAAATAATAAAAGGCATTTTTCTCTAAAAACATGCATTTTATCGACTTCAAACAAAAGTTTTTTAAAGCATTTTAAACCAATCTCTTTAAATCTGTTGTTGTTTTGAAAACATTTTAATTCAAGAAAAGTTGTAACTAAAAATCAAATGTTTGGATTTATCGCTATCAAAAAATGTTGTTATATTTTATGTAGAAGATATTCAAAAAATTAACAATACAAAATAATTTTCGACACCCTTTATCTCAGTAAGAAAGCATTTTGCGACATGTTTGTTATAATTATTATATAATATATTAACTTTGTTTCGTAAGGTATTTACATCCTAAAGTTAGGGTTCTTAAACTTAAAAAACACCGCGTATATGTCAGGGTCAGGGGCGGATCCAGAATTTTGAGAATGGGGGCACAAAAATGTCTGCACTTTCTTCGGATAATAACTTAGTGATAAAAACATAAATAAATTTGAAGATTTTGTTTTTCTGATCTCGAATGAGGATCTGGCCCGAAACCTGTGGATTCGCCACTGGTCAGGATTTTGCATATTTCACTTTGTTTAATGATACAATACTTAATTTTACTTGTATGATTTATTAAATAATTTATTTAATGGACTTACAAGCCGCAAACAGCAGAAAAATTGGCTACAAAGAATGCGAGCTTTAAGAGGCCATGCAAACAATTGAGAGCTAATATCACCAAACCCTTCGAGCGTTTTGTTAGCCTATTTGTATAATTTCATTTATCTATTTGGTCTGGAAGCAATGTATCAAAACTTGTTGCACTGTAATTGGTTAACTATTAACCGAATTAGCCTTATTAGCCTAGTAAGCCGTACTGGTCAAATACAAAATTTATTTCAAAATATATTCCAAAATAGGCATATACCCTTTGTAGCTAAAATCCAGAGAATAATGCACAATATTCGTACGCATGGGTGTCTTTAGCCGAAGAGGGATAAGACACCACGGCAGCCAAAACGGAATGATTTCAATGAATTCCGTATTTTCTTAAAAAATACAACCGACAGCGTAAATACTGGCACAAAAAAAATTGCTTCAACACGAGGCGACGTAGGCCACGCATGTTTTGCTTTTGATTTGCTATCCTTATTTACTTCTTCCATTTTATGTATATACCTACTGTCTATACACATTGAATTGTAACAGGCAGAAAGACCTAGGCCCATTGAGGAATAAAGTGTTTTTTATACTTCTATTACGGAATATGACCGTTCTATCACTTTTTAATGTAAAATGACATATATTCCTGATTACAGAATTAATTATTCTATCATCGGATGACGGAATAAACAATGGTGTCGAAATCTCTGTGTTTAATATCTAACAAATTTAGACCGATACAACCTCACTTTCTGCCAATTAAATTACTTTCCTATGGTATTTTTTGGAAACGTAGAAAAAGTTTAGTCTGAAACACGTTTGGAATTACATATCCCGCTCTCGTGAAACCGTCAAACTCGCCTTCGGCTCTTGTGACAAACTTTTCACTCGAGCGGATATGCCGTATTCCAAACTTGTTACAGAAAATTCTATTAATATTATTATTATATAATACATTTTTATTTTACTTTTAAAAAGAAATCTTGCTGCGGGACAACTTTTTTAAGATTTTCTGAACAGCAGATGAAATGTTTACGAATCGAATGGCTCAGATAATTCATAACAGCCTTTGCACTCGTTACAGTTTTCTGCGAGGTTTTCGGCGTTGTGTAACCCGTCTCATTAACTCTCTGTGTTGTGTTGTAAGCCATGGTGAGCCGAGAAAAATTTTCGAGCGGCGAACAAAAAAATATTGTTTTTGTAATGGGCTTTTATGCAAAGAACGCGATCTTCACCCGTAAAGCCAAAACTAGCAGAATAACACGCGATTATTATTCTGCCGTGCTAAGCTAAACCCCCGTATCTGCAATATTAAGGTTTAAAGGACAAAAGATAATTTTTATTGTTTTTAACAATGAAAATTATCTTTTGTCCTTTATTACTTAATATTGTACATACAGGGGTTTGGCTTAGCAGGGCAGTATTACTTTAAGTTATTTTTTATTAAAACTTTGTAGGTATTTAAGTTTTAAAAACCCGCCAAAGCTGTAGGCTGACATAAATCAAACATGTATTTTATGACAGTTTGTGTCAAAATCAAAACTAATCAAAAATAATCATAACTTTTTTATTATAAACCAATTTAAACTTTTTGTTTTTGAAACGTCATTAATCCATATACAAATTAATAGTCTCAAAACCAAAAATAAAAAAGTAACTTAATTTTTAATGTCTTAAAAAGTACGTGCTACGCCCTTTACATAAAATAATATTAAATTAATATTATAATAATAACTATCAACCTATAAAATAAATATTTTTTTTACCGAATGCATACAATAATTAATTATTAACAAATCAAAAAATTTAACATAACAGTTTAAGATTTAATATGATAATTTTTTTATTTAAAGGTAAAGTATCTGAAGAACAGTTAGACAAATGGTGCAGGGAAATCGACGAAGAAGAAGCGAAAAAAGAACAAGAATCCAATGCGCACGCTCAGTGGCTTAAGAGACGCGAACAACGTAAACTTGAAATCGAGCGAGCATGGCGACCTCCCAAACCCGCCACACCCGTAAATGTGATACAAAAACGTAAAAATCCTGACTCGCCCGAAGCGATGGAGATTGAAGGTATAGAAGAAATGCAATCTCCCGTCATCCAGCCACAAGAACAAGGAAAACCTGCATTGTCGCCATTGTTGACAAGTTTACTGAAATCGCCGTCTCAGGTGCAGAACGTGCAGACGTCGATTTTGCATTCTGCCATAACGAATGTTAATCAGAAGTTGCCCAGTATTGGAAATAATTCTACCATTGCAAGTTTGCTAAATTCTTCTACGGGAATTGCAAATGTTTCGCCAGGACTACAGCAATTGGTCAGTAGTGCTATTGGTCAAGAACAAAATGTCGACGATCAAAATCAACCGATGGGTAACGATATTCTTGACGATCCCAACTTACCGAGCATTAAAATCGACGCTTTGGCTAATAGCATCCTAGTACGGGACGGACCGTTACCGGAAATCAAGAAAGAGGAAGTTGACGACATAATATCTGAGATTATCGACACACATGACATGGTTACCGATCCCGAACAACACTTGCAACTCGATAGAAACGGTGACATTAACATTAACTTGGAACTGGATGACTTTGACGATGACGACAGCATATTAGATCCACCGGAAATAGAAATTCCAAAGGAGGCACAACCCAAAGAAGAAGTTCCACTTCCACAACTGCCACCGCAACCACAAATCCAACCAACGCCTCAACCCCAACAGCCCCCGCCAAGCGTGGATCCTTTCGAGTTTCAAGAGGAAGATCCGATAATATTTGAGCCTACAAAGACCATGAAACAAATGAACGAAGCCAAGCAATATCAACAGCAACCTGCTCCGCAACCGCATCTTGTTCCATCAGAGCTCGTTAAAATTGCAGAAGAAGAACAACCGCAACCTAAGCAGTCAAAGGTTGTAGATCCAATAGCAGATAAAGAAATTAAGAAAGAAACTATTGAAGAAATGCCTAAAAAAGTGGAAAAGAGCGGAGGCTCGGTGGAAATCGTAGAGGTTGTTGGGGAAGATGAACAATGCGACAAACAACTGAATAAATCACAAATACAAGACATAGTGCATTCAACCAAAATCAAATCAGAGGAGGCTAATGTTGTTAAAGAAAAGGAAGAACCTAAAGAAGAACCAGCTAATCCTGTTGAGAGTTTGGCCGATAACAAACCAGAAATAAAAGAGGTTAAACATGAAGAAATGCCGAAAGAAACCAAAACGGATGTTAAACAACCTGAAATGGAGACAACCAAAAAGGAAGAACTTTCTGAAATAGAAGAAAAAGAAAAAACCAGTCCACATAATGAATTGGTACCAGATTTATACGAAGATATTAACATGGAAGTTAAAATTGATAAAACCGGAAGGGCGAAACGGGACTACTCGAGAACCAAAAAGAAGGAAGAAAAAGGCTTTGATATGCTGCTGGCAATCGAAAAAGCTCAATTGGAAGGAAGCGATCAGCCCGAAGAAAATGCTGATAAGGAATTACCTGAAGACAAAAAAGATGTGAAACTATTAAAACCCAAAGTTGAAAATGAACGCTCCAATAGCCCTTGGACCGAGGAGGATGATACAAGTGGTAGCAAAGCTAAAAGAAGATATTCCACTGCAACTCCAGTGGATTCAATACCGAATTCTCCTGCTTCCAGTGTTACATTTGAGGATGATAAAGACTACAGAAACTGGAAAAAATCTGTCATGCTTGTGTATAATAGGCTGGCTACTAACAAATATGCATCTTTGTTCTTAAAGCCTATAACTGATGATCAAGCACCAGGTTATAGTAATATGGTTTATAGGCCCATGGATCTGCAGACTATTAAAAAGAATATAGAAAATGGTCACATTAGAACTACGCTAGAGTTTAAAAGGGATATAATGCTTATGTTTACAAATGCGATTATGTATAATAAGACTAGCGACACGGTATACAATATGGCAAAACAAATGCAACAGGAGTCAATGCAGCCAATTGATATTCTTTTACAGGCTACATCTCAAGTGGATGTACCTTTAAGAAGGGAGACAAGGACAAGCGAATCGGGGACCAAAAGGAAGCGCACCCTGACAGAAGAAACGATTAAGAATAAAAAGAGGAAAGAGGATTAGAATTACGCTTCTTGATTGTTTGAAGGAACGTACGATTTTAATATTTTTTTAGATACATTTCAACAATGTAACATGTAAATATATTTAGAATAAAAGTTTTAAACTATCTTTATGGAAATATTTTTTTATTGGCTATGTTGGTGTCAACAACACATGTTTGAGCCTACAAATCTTCAAAACAATATCAACCGCACATTGTTAAGCCAGAGCTCCTTTAAATTTCAGAATAATAGCGAACGCAGCCTAAACGAGCCAAGGTACACGATTCGGGCTTGTGATGGGCACGGGGTGGGGGTACCCCATACTCATGCAAACGGCAGTAACCCAAGGAGATTTTAAGAATCTCGCGAATTCAAACATAACCTCAACAACTTCGAAATGTTGTCAAGTGTGGCCAAAAACGGTGTGATCATCTAGTCTAGTCGGAAAGGTACCTACGTTGTGTTATTTGAATTCGCTTCTAGATAGGAAGGATGCCAGAGAGAGGAAATTAGATTAAGTAATAAAAACACACAAATAATGGTTGTCAGCTTTATATTCATTGTATTTGAATATTAGTTTTAACAATAGGTTTTATCAAACGTTTTGAGATTATTAGTTTCAGTTAGCTTTTTGTCACTTTAGGGGATTTAGATTTACTAGTTTAATACAGTAGATTTATAGAAATTTATATATATTTCCAAGTTTATAGGTTAAAGGATTTTATTTCCAAGGTTTAATAAATGCAGATTCTTAAGTATTACCAAGCCAAATGTAATATCAAATAAATTTATAATAATGATCATCAGTAACAATATATCAGCTCATTTTGTATAAACAGTCGAAACAGAGATACAATTCAATTTTATACAGCAAAACCTTCATTCTTATTAATTCTATTACATGCCACAATAAATAGAGAAACAGTAATAATATACAATATAGTAATCATAGAAAATATAGTAAGAATAATAATAATAGAGCAGATAATAATATCAACGTAATAATCAAAATAAGGCATATAGTAATATTATGTATGTAATAGTAAAAATAAGGAATATTAAGGTTTAATTTATTTAATATAATGATATCGACTTATGATACAAAATAGACGAATTATAACGTCTCCTGAACTAGATAAATAAATATCAGAGTTAAAACCTTAGGAATCCACATTAAAATAATAAACTTGGTCAAAGCTTTACAACCATTTTAAATAATTAATTAAATTGATTAATATAATATTTATATCATACCTTGTATGTTTATACTCAAAAATACCTACAATTTCTTGTTTAAAAAATCATCAATCTCTATATTTTTTCAAATTCATTCGCCTACTACCATCAACAACCTTGTTACTCCGGGAGACCATTTTTTATCACCAACTTTACTTTTAATACTGGTTTGGTAATATCCCAAACTTGCTGTACTCAAACTAACAATCTTTCACGCTAAGACTCGATATAATTTAAATAAACTTTTAAACGTTTTTAACACAGCTGACTGATTGAAATTAATTTGTCAATGTCATCTCATTCTGTCAATATGACTTTAACTAAGTGCGTATAGTTGGTTGTCACTTTTTTTCTTACGAGTATCAAAAGTCGGGCCAACACAGGCTAGAGAGCCGATTTAACGCGCACAAATTTGTTTAAATAATTTTTAGTTAATGTTCATTTTTTTGGCTTAATTAATAAAATTTTAATAAAAATTACACTGTATATACACTGCTTGTCAAACGCATAATAAGTAAAAAAATTCTAACTCTAAAACGCCTTTACCAATCTTTATGAAATTTTGTATAAAAATACTTCAACTTATATCTCAGTTTACGTGTTTGTTGTTAAAAAACTTATTTTTGTTACTATACCCTGAAAATTTTGTACAAATCAAACGAACGAAGAATCAGACCCCTTTTTTATTATTTTGCTGAAAAGTGGTCATTTTTGACGACTTTGAAGCGCTGTATTTTCGTTTATGTTCGTTTAATTTGTACAAATTTTTTTTGAACAAAAATACGGTCTTTCACAACATATTTTTTATTTACTTAAAAATAAATATCCCTATAAAAGTTTTTTTTCGAGCATTTTTTATTATTAAATAATAGGGCTTTAAGGATATTATGTTGAAGTTGAATTATTTTTTATTTGTTATGCGTTAATTTTGACGAGCAGTGTATATATTTATTCCCTCCTGCTTATCAGGTAAGAAATGTTCCATTCCCTCCCGCTACCATAAAGATTCTACAGTGTGATTGACTTTGAATGTAAACGTCAGAATTAAATTAAACGTCAGTTTTATATAATTTTGAAGTTTTTTGCGGGCACCCAAATTGCGTATTTTTAAGCAAAATTGAGCATTTATAGAGTTTAGCCTAAATAACTTAATTAAAACGACTTTAGAAATGTAACCGTCAGTTTTTAATTAAACGTTACTTTTTTAATTTTGTTAAAATTAGTTAATAATTAGCACCACTCGACAAAAAATTATAGTGGTTACCCCGCGTGGAATCGCAATTATTCCCTCAATGAATTCCTTCACTCGCCTATCGGTTCGCTCGGAAACTTTCCTCATGGGGAGTAATTGCTATGATTCCACGCTCGGTAAACAATATACTAATGTGTTAACAAAAGTATCTTTGTGCCTTAAGGCTGTTATCCACGCAAAATCGTTATTCGAGGATCTTAGCACGCTTCTATGTCAAATAGAAGCATGCCTCAATACAAGACCATTGTGTTTACTAAATAACGACATTAGTAATATTCCTAATTGGACGTGAGATAATATCCCCCAATCATTCAGCAATAAATGATTTTTCCACAAGCTTGAATGGAAATTGAATGCAGAAAAGGGATTTATGTAACGCATGGTCAAGAGAATATTTAAACAATTATACAAATGGCAGAACAAAGAGAATAATATTAGCATTGGATATGTTATCATCATCAATGAAAACCAGATAAATCCCAGCAAATGGTCGCAAGCAAAAGTGACAAAAATCTTTCCTGACAAATCTAGCGATATCAGAGTGGCAACAGTTAAGAAATCGGATAGCCAGCCGATGAAAAAAGTATCCATTAATTAATTCCATTACCAAACACCAAAGAGCCAGACGCCGACAAAACGAGAAGCCAGCATTTCCAAAGTTAAAACAGTAGTAATCCTGATGCTTTGTATGATGTTCTGCCCTTCTGCATAAACAAATTTCACTGTGAGAAATATAAAACCTGTCATAGACCATCTTGGCCACTCGCGAATTGAAAAGGGCATTTTTAGAGTTAAGATAGACTATAACCGACACAAAATAATGTTCTACACTACACTACACTATCTCATCAATGAAACGAAGTATTCAAAGAAATAAAGTGGACAACCTAAGTAATACATGAAACACATAAAAGACGAAAAAGATGCATTTACTTCAGTATTTGGCTTAAATAATTAGTATACAAAGACGTCGACAGCCTTCAAAAGAAGATGAACTACTGAAAGCTGAACATAACCAAACAAAATTTATGCTGTCAGCCTTAGCCACATTTAACTAAAGCGAAGCAAGAATACAGAACTGAAATTGTTCAGGACAAAATTAAATCAAGCCTTTTCAGCAATGAACGACATAAAAGGACGGTTTAAAACCATTGACACGAACAAACTGAACATTCCCATCCTGACATCATATAAAGTAGCCAACGGGTTTATAACAGAAGTCCTGGACCACTACTCCAAGCTGCTTGCTGTACGTTTTCGTAGAGGCAATAAATAATCTTATGTTTTGTGTAAATAACAATAGTCCAAGACAGCAAATTCAGCGGTGACAATGTAGTAAAAATCAAAATCCACTTAACAAGGTCTTTTCGATCTCAATTCGCGCATATTAAAAATCACGAAGTTAGGCAACCTACCGCAAAGTAGCCATGAGCGCCGGCAGAAAATAATCCAGGAGTGTGCCGTTTTTTTTCTATATTTCAATAAAAATAACTCAAAATAAAAAACCAATAATAACAAACGCCGTATACAAACTACAAGTATTTAGTGTGCATACATATTTTAAAATTTATATTTAAAAAAATATTTGTATGAACGCGAATAAATGCGCTTTTAAATGGTACTAACTGTATACCCGCGGCTTCGCTAGCGTGGTTTTAAGGAAAAATTAAAAAACGATTGTTTCTTTCCCGTTCCTATACTCTCTAAAAATAAATTAGTCAAAAATGACTAATTTAATAGTAATTAGTGGCTGCTTTTTCACTTGTACCATGGTTAACCTTGGAATACCATGGTATTCCAAAATGTAACAGCCAATTCTTATGTAAAATAGTCCCCTAAATCCGAAAATATCGTCAAAAGTTAAAAAAAAAATAGAACAGTTTTTGAGATATAGTCAATTTTCCATTTAATATGGAATTGACTATATCTCAAAAACTGCTCCACTTTCATAATTTTTAACAGTATTTTCGGATTCAGAGGAGAATTTTACATAAGAATTGGCTGTTCAATTTTGGGATACCATGGTATTCCATGGTTAACCAAGGTACAAGTGAAAAAGCAGCCACTAATAACTATTAAGGGCCGGTTTTTCAATCGTTGGTTAAGTTTATATTACGGTTAACTTTCTTAGATACTATTGTGTTAACAATAGTATCTAAGGAAATTAACCGTAATATAAACTTAACCAACGATTGAAAAACCGGCCCTAAATTAGTTATTTTTGACTAATTAATTTTTAGAGAGTAGAATATTTGCCGTTTTTGTTCAGTTTTTCACCGACCCGTTTCGCTTCTGTTCTGTTGCTGTCCGTTGGAATTAGCCTAAAACCTACTGCGCAATCATTTAAAAACCACTGCGCATAGATACAATCATCTAGTACCTATTAGTGATGGGTCGTGATTTTGATAACGTGATTTTGGAACGTTATTTTTAAATCACGATCCGGAACGTTCCTAAATATATCGGAACGATATAATAGCGGATCGAACTGAATAGAAACAGAGAATCCGACCATCGAATGAGTGAACGGAGCGAGTGGGAAGGGAACGACGTGAAACATAGAAACGAACGAACGTCGCTAACGTCGGAAGGCGCAGTTACCTCGTTTCGTTTCTTGTTCGGCTTTCGCGGC